CATAAGCGATTCCACTGTGCCTTCTTTGCCTAAGGTGCGGGCGGCAACCAGGTATCGCTCCATTCTCGAGGCATCAGCCTGCGGGATAACATCCCTAAATATTTTCTCTAGTTGCATAACCCTGTTCTCACAGCGTTGTAAGATAGGGCTTATTGCTTTGCAGGAGTTCTCATCGGGGTTGGTGGTGTTCAGCTGTCTTGAGACGGTTTGGAGGGTTTCGTGGACAAAAGGGAGCCGTGTAGCAACATCGCGAAAGGCTTGTGGGAGGCCCGAGGCATTGTTGGCGGCGGCGTAAACCTTCACAGTCGCATCGACAATAGCGATGATGCCAGAGATGAGGCCGATGATCTCGGCGCCAGACATGTCCCCAGGTCCTACGACAAGGTAGTTAGACTCTCAGCTTGGTTAGGTATGGTAAACCCGTGTCGTACCAGTGTAAAGATGAAAAAAAAAAAAAAAGGCGCTTGAGAAGTTGCTTGACCAGACAGCCTCAGATAGGCATAGCGGACTTTGTTCTGAAAATCGCAATCGACAACGCAGAGTCGATGCTGACCTGGATTGATGAGGGGTTAGGCTGCCACATTTTGGGCATCCTGACCGCCCCGCGCCCCGCGCCCCGCGTCGCTTCACATGAGCCAATGGAAAAGCGCATTGCTAGCCGCTGCTGCGAGCGCTTAGCGAAGCGGCTTTATGTCCGACGAAGCTATTGGTTGAGGATCATGCCGCGGATGATTGCTCGGGTGAGCTTCAACTAGTCGCCGCGCCAGCTTTGGCCATCGGCTGCCAGGGGATGAGTGGTCGCTTCTGTTGTGGAAGATAGACGCGTCTTGGCCCGTCAAAGGCCTTGATCTGCCGCGCTCGAGCCGGTCGGTACTCGGTAAGGAGTGCAAGGAGAGTTTCTCTTTTAGCAGCCGCCAGCTTATCACGTGGCCTCGCGTAACAGGTGCTTTCGGTGGTGTCGCGGGCTTGCCCATAGGGCATTGGGGAAAACTGTGGCTATTTGAGTGCAACACTAATTCCTTGGGATTTTTCTCTAAGGGAGGACCTACCTAGGTAGTGATCGAGGTGGCCGACCGCTCAATCTTGCCGAAACGACCGAGTCGCGCAATAAAACCGAGCGCGAAAGTCCGCGAAGCGACGCAGTCAGTTGAGGATACGGCCACCACGTCGAGAAGAACCATAAATAGTATTACGCCGAGTACCGCATCGAAAGGAACACCCGGATTGGGAAGCGGGAGCGGAACCAATGGCCAGGCTGAAGCGGGTAAAACAGCGCTCCAGACCCTTCTAGAGGCAATTGATGAACAGCAAAACAAGACACGCGAGACAATTACCGAGCAACGAAACATGATTTGCGAACTGTGCAACGTGGTCAGCAAGCAGCAAGACGCGATCCAACGGCTCTGTGAAGAGCTGAGACAAGCCCGCGATATGGTCAGCAAACAGCAAGACGTGCTTCAGCAGCTCTCTGAGGAATTGAGACAAGTCCGAGACCAAATAGGCACCGTTGCACAAAACGCAGCCCTTCTCCATACAACTCAAACGAGTCCGAGGGTGTTTAATGCAGAAGTTGCTCGCACGCCGCCAGCAAGTCAATCAAGTGGACTGCGAACTATCTCCTTGTCGAACACAACGCCAACGACCTTGACGGATACACTGTTCTGCACGGTCGATACGTCTAGAGTAGAGGAAAGAGAGAAAGGGAGAGTCCAAGTTGCAGACATAAGGAGGGCAATCGAGGCAGAGATCCAGACACACGAGAGCCAAGGAAACTGGCGTTGCGCCGCAGTAGTGAAGGAAGCCAGGAACCCAGACCGTATCAGAGTAATCTGCAGGGACGAAAGCGAAGTTGCCCTGGTCAAGGCAGCAGCGCAGAAGATCACGGTGCCAGGAGTACGCGCGCTGAGGACCAGTTGTACCCGGTGAGGATTGACAATGCCAACCGGACAGCAGTCCTCAACGCGGAGGGGAACAACCATCCATCACATACAACTTTGCACGCTCGCAGCAAAACCAATTCAACACAGAATTTTTTAGGAAGGGTACCGTTGTAATATTGACATCAAACGCTATCTAATGGTATCCCAGACGGAGGCGGGCGGTAGCGCTTGAGCAAGTCCCTTCCCAACTCCGTCCCCTTCATGCTCTCCTCGCGAACAATGATAGTTCCATGTGCTCCGACCCTCAATGACAACTGCGTTCCAGTTGCGTCTCTATCCGGTCCCTCGCCGGTTATCTCCACTTTCCCGTTCATCTCAAGCCGAAAACCCAAGCGGTAGCGATTGAGCAACTCCTTTCCGTTCTCTTCATATCCTCCTCGTGAACACATATTCTTCCACAGCATCCAAAATCCAACATCCATAGCTTCGCTCGCTATATGTTCGAGTCAGGAGGCTCTGAGGCTTGAGGGGTCTAGGCAGTCGTGAGCAAACCTTATATACCCCCAACGGCCGGGCAACAGAACCTTGGCCATTCTTGGTTCAGCAACATAAGGTTACTCAGTGGCTCAAGTGATGCGTTCCGTCACACGTGCCCTCGCTCTTCCCTGCTTGAAGAGCGAGACTATAGCAAACGGATATGGACCAAGAGTATGTGCCCCCCTTCTTTGGAGTAGGAAAATAAGGTGCTACGTAAAGTTATAGCTAGTACGAATTTTTCAGAATTCACATTGTCTGACGTCGATGTAGACGCTTTGTTATCTTGCCTGAATGTGGTTATTGTGTTTTCCTCCCTTCGTTACACCCTCCCTGTCTATGTCCTAATTCCTGCTGTTGCCGGTCCAACGCTGTATGTTGTGTGAAGGGATTCGGCTGGTCTCGCTCCCATGGCTCAAGCGCAAGGTCTTCAACTTGGGCATAAGTCTGATCTGGTTGGAAGTTTGCAGCCGAAGAATCGAGTTCCGAGCGTTGAAAGGATACCTATATAGTTTTGTTAGTGGACCTTTTTCTCCCTTTTCAAGAAGGGGGCATTACATAAGCTTGGGCTTTTGGTAACAAGGAGTACTCTTAGTAAGCCAAGCGCAATTCTCTTTCTTTAAAGAAGAGATCTTGAATTTCTTCGATTGTGGATGCGTATTCTCACCGGCAGTTGACCGGAAGTGTCAGGCAGACTATCAGACTTCCCCTTTATATGATTCTTGCGTCCCGTCCCCATCGATTTGCGTTATATATAGTAGCTTTTACCTAGAGCATTGTCAAGTTGTGTTGGTGAGTGGAGGCAATGTGGCAAAGGTCTTCGATGTAATTTCGTGCAACTGATTATCTTTGATAGTACGGATACCTGCCACCGGGTATTTACCCGAGTGCTTACATGTACCCGTTGGCTCGTGGACATCTGATCCAGTGTTGATCATGTACAAGGAATTACAAACAGGGGAGAATTGTATGAGCAATAAGCCCCGACTCGAATCGCAAACCCTATATCGCAGTTCCAGAAAATAAAGTCTTAAAAGTAAAGTTCTGAGATGCTGATTTTGGACACTAAAAATAGACACGAATATAAAGCAGCCTAATCCCTTGTCTCTGCGGGCAAGTAAGTCGTAGGGATCAACTACAAAGATACCTATACATCGCTAAGAGAGCAAGATGAGTCACCCAACCTGTATCTCAAAGAGACGAAGACAACGGGACCAAGAAAGGTTCCAGCGTCGCCTTCGCACCTACATAAGTAAGGCCGAGAAGCTTCGTGCCGACTTTGGGGTCCAGGTTTATGCCATCATTTATAAGGGAGGGAAATACTGGGAATATTCCTCAGTGAAAGACGCATCATGGCCGCCTGCACGTGATACTCTAGTAAGTACCGGAGGGTATACTCATGGGGTAATGCCTAACAGAAATAATGTAGGCGGCTTATTATCCAATTCCTACAACCATCACCCCTGACGACTTTGAAGACAGCAGAGAAAGCCCTTCAACGTTGTCAGTAGGAATGGAGCCAGAGAGAGAAACAGAACAGATACAATAAGCTGGGCCAGATAAAGGCACTGTGAGACTGACTGGAATGGTCGATATACAATGAAGAGGGACGGAGTTCGCTGGTCGGATCTACCCCAATGTATTGCAGAGTTTGGAGTGTAGTATTAGTCACTCCCATCAACTTGTTTAACCTAAAGAATTCGACGTTGTTGCACCGAGCCCATTTTGATCCACTGTAGGGTACTGACCAACGGACATATCGCTTATACGTCTAAGTAGCCAGAAACGATAAATCGCATATGCAACTGACATAGAGCAGAGAGATAGGGTCACCACGCCGATTGTGACCTTAGCCGTTACAGACCACTCGCCGTCATGGGAAGCATATATCCCTACAAGCACCGAAAGAAGGCCACTAACTGAGTTTAGGAGGCCAGGACTATGGAGGACTTTAGGTTAGGCCATAAAGTGATATTGAGAAGGGGATGAAACTCACCTGATCAGATGACTTAATAACCACACATAGTTATAACGGAACTTCACCCACAGGAAGGTGGTTCCAATGACTCCAAGAAGACAACATAGTCCTGAGAACAAAAGAAGCGGTATACGCTGTGCAAAATGGTATAAAGCCTTTCCCGCTCCTGAATCTTGGTGTTGCTCTAATGATGTGAATGTTCCAGGGAAAAGGATAAAGCTAGCTAACAGGATCCAGGATGAAAGCCCAGCGGCAATGTTATACTTATATGGTACGTGGTAGGATTCTACTACCATATCTTGGTATTGTCGGTACACCATGTTAGATGAAAAATGAAGTGATTTAGTGTACATAGCACTTGCACAAACGCTTAGGGGCTGTATTATACTTACTTTATCTCCTAATATATCTCGACCTAAGTCTATAGAATGTAGATTCTAGACTCTGGAAAATGAATTAAGGAAGTGCGTTTTTGTTATTCTCTTTTGTCCCTGATGTAAAAAGCAGTTGTCTGACCTCCCTTCAATTTCCTTCGATCTTTGATTCAAAGCACCTCTCTTTCTACAGGTATCGAATCTTATGATGGAAGAACGGTCGAATATGAGGATCCGGCGGCGCGAAGATGTCGAAGCTGACTCAGACACCCCACTGACTCCAGTAGCGCGTCGGCGCAGAGTCGATGCCCATGTGCCAATTGAATCCTCGCAGTCTCAGTTGACCCCTTCCCAACAGCCCCCTCCCCAACTTGAACAGTTGCCACTTTCCCAACAGTTGGTCCCGTCCCAGCAGCAACCCGGGCGTGGGATATTTCCTATCCATTCAGCTCCTACGTCCCAACCTCTCCAGCTACCATCTCAATTAGTCCCGCAACCTCAGCAATTTTGGCAGGCTCAATTACCTCTCCGACCAAACCCTCGATACCAACGAAAGTATATTTATCAGCAGTCACAATATATCCCTCCAGAGAATCTAGAATGGCCTCATAATTCAATTTCGATGGATTACATGGGAAACGCACGATTTGTTATAGGACTTACGTTGTATATTCGGATTTCCGAACCTGGACACCCTTCTAACCAGAATCCTCCCCTTGTATGGGCAAGAGTGGAGGGAAAACCGCTTGGAAGAAATAATCTTGTTATAGTCGTACTACCTCTCCAACAAGGACAAAGCAAACTGCGAGCTTTTGCAATTACACTACAAGACTGTGGACTTGACCCGGATACAGTTGATTACTTTCCAATAGCAGGTAGAGGAGACCTTAACGCTTTGCCAGTAACACCAGAACTACCACATATCGACTATATTGCCGAAGATCCTTCAGGTAATTGTGCATGGATATTTGCTTGGAGCTGGGGCCGCCGTATTATTACTACCTCAGATCTCTGGACATCCGTTTGGGCTACTCGACACCGAGGGCTTAGGGCGATCAATCAATACTATATTGATTCTGGAGGACCACGGAGGCAAGTTGCTCTCCAGGCACAGCAGCAGCCGGTATTGCAGGACGCCCTACAAGTCCAGCAACAAGAACCACATGTGCAGCAGCTGCCGGTCGCACGTGAACATGCGATAAGTCCTGAATTAATAACTATTATTCGAAATCTAGTTAATTCTATTATAGAGGAGCATAATCAACAGCGGCATGCATATCAGAAACAGCTACGCAAGGTAGAGTTGCTCATGTAGTCTCCCTCTATACCAGCTAATCAACTTTAGTGGCTCACCATCTATAACACCCCTGGGAGTATACCTACAGGGCAATGCATAGCGATTCCTTGCTCTCGCGAAGGCCCATCTCTTAAACTACTAGAGCTAAAGTGCAAGTGTCGAATCCATATATCATGTATGGAAAAGCACATTGTTGGCATCTTTCCCGCATGTCCACGGCATAGAGCTGATCGAGTGGACTCCTTTTACTATCCATTCAGCGAGGAGTTCCCTCGGGTTCTAGTTAACTTAGAACGATTTCGACGATTCGGGTTACCTTTTGATCAGTCCGACCCATGGTTTTCATCCGCTGCCCCTCAGGCCTGGCAGGAGGTTGGACTTGAAGATCCTTACTGGAATCTCGACCTCGGGGACTGTAGCATTTGCTGGGAGCGTATAGAAGAAGCAGAAGCATGCAAATCGGCTGTAGTATTACGGTGCAGACACTTTTTTCACACTTCTTGCATAGGTCATTGGCTTAGGGATAGGGCAGTAAATCCTACCTGTCCATTATGTCGTCGTATAGTAGACGACGCGTACTTTCTAGCGGAATGGACGCCGCGGTTTAAATGGCCCAGCACTGTACTACATAGCTTGGCTGGATTTGGCGGGCAGTAGTCTCTAAGGGTTTAAGGGTTGAAGTGTCGAAGCCACTAGGTCGGGTCATTGCAGCCAATCGCACCGCACCTTGGTGAGGCGGGAGTGAACTGAAGATGGGTACTCTCTCCACAACTGTTAGTCAAAAACTACGGAGGTACATGCAAATTTAATCAGAACCAATATACGGAGTATTTTGCAGCGTGCTAAGATTTGGACCTCGATAGCAAAAGGCTCAACCGAGAAATCTGACAAATGCTACTGCACAGGCTCAGCCAAGCGACGTACATATCTCATCAAGGTCAGCTCGCGCACGGACCAAGGCGGCAAACTTTTCCGCCTAGGTCCGTGCGCTCTCCACCATAGGTATTCTGGAGTCGTGGTCTCGTGGAATATGTCCTGAACAGCAAGAGGTACCAATCCGCATTGGGCTTGCTAGATGTCCGACGAACAGCACCCAATTTGAGTCGTGCGCACGGTGGAGATTGGGTCGGAGGAAACAGTCGTGGTAGGAGCCTAGCACGTGACAAATTCGCCAGGTGAGCTCCCCCAGCATCTGGCCTTTACGCCAACACGCCTTTAGCCGCCACTGCGCGAAGAACCGACCGGCTGGTTGTTCTACCTCAGTTCGAGGCAGATTGGGAGGCCAGATCTTGGTATACAGGCGGGACAAGGTATCAGTTGTGGGATTCCCAAGGCCACATGTCAGGACCGGCATTCCATAAGTGGTAGCAGCTGCTTCGGAGAAAGACGCTCAAGCGTTTGTGCGTCTTCGCTTTCCCATAGGAATTCGGGGACGTCTCTCTGCTCCAGTATCGCGCGCTGGAAGGTGTTCGCCATCCGACGGATTGAGAGGTTGAACTCGTCCGTCTGAAGAGACTTCCGGAAGAGCGCGATGTCAAGTCCGCTGTCCTGGTATTGCACACCCTTTGGACTGCGCGAATCTGATTGATCTCGGTTTGGCGGGATTAGACATACAGCAAAGTCCTGGCAAACGATATTCCAACGCCGACCTTCGCTGATGAAATGCCGTAGTTTTCTCTTGTTTCGCTCTGTATTCTCCCATCCGAGGTCCTTCAGGATAGCGTCTACGTCTGTAGACCTTGCGTATGTATAATCCGGAGGTTTCCTGCTGTCCATGTTCTTGGCTAACTCCGATTTTGCAAGCCGGCACAAGAACTCCAGGAGACTCCCTGTACAGCTTAGCCCTTCGATGACGCGGACGAGCTGTACTTCTGCTCTTTCGTTGCTTGTCAACTCAAAGAACGGCCGCTGTTTGGCTCTCCATGCCCTGATAAGAGAACAGAGGTGACGGAATGCCTGTTTGCCACAGACAGCGTTGGCAAGAGTCGTCGCGTCGGGTTCGACCCGTTGCTTTTTAGCAGGTATACTAGTACTGGGCGTAGGACTTGTTGGATTCTCCCTCCTACTTCGTGGCTCCCTGCGGTCGACCCCAGCCCACATGCAGTCGCCCCTCCCATCCCCTTCAGCGTCCGCACCCTCCACTTCGGCGTTCAAATCCTCGTCTTCTTCAACATCCACATTGTCCCCCTCTTCAGCATCCGTATCGTCGTCTCCTTCAGCGTCGTCATCCTGCTCTTCGACGTTCAAATCTTCATCTCCTTCAGCATCCACGTCCTCCCCTTCCGTAGAACCGCCGTGGTCTCCGTTACATCCCTGCCCAGCTTCATTTCTCGCGAAGCGCATATGCTCGTACGTAATCGGACTGTCGCAACACCTGGTTGTACAGAATCGGTATCCTTCAACGTTCCATCCGTCACCAGCATAGTTTCGCGCTTCAGCAACCGTATATGTCTTGCTGTAGCCGGAATGGTAAGCGTTCCCGTAAATGAACACCAACTCGCCTGCGTTTTGGGCAAAGGATCTGACTGCAACGTTCCTCTCTATTCCACGCCCAATCCCGAACACAGCGTCATGTCTCATGAACTGATGGCAGTGTGCATCCGATGCCTTAGTCGACAACACAAGCCTTCGGAACTCTTTCTCTGCAGCTTCCTGATCAGCTGGAGGAATAACACTCCACTCCTTACTCCCATAGTAGAGGTAATTGATCGCGTCGGTGCGGCAATCGTCGATGTGCCAGGCAAAGGGCGCCCCGGCTGACCCTTCGTACTTGGTAATGGTATGGATTCCAAGAATTGCGTGCGCTGTCCGGTGAAGCTGATTGCCCCGGATTGTCTCGATCGGGCTCTGACAAGGAAGCCCTGCAGCTTCCCGTTCTCGCTCCGTACCAGCCGGACAATCAGTTAGATAGAAGACATCCGGAAGGACTCTTTGACTACCTAAAAGCGGTCTCAGATCCTCTATCCGTTTGTTGGAAGAGCGGTCGAAGACAGCTGTCGATTGGTATGGATCGGTTCTCCAGTACCCATCCCCTAAGGCTTGGACATGGTACCTGCTGCATTTCTGTTTGCGTCTGAACGACCTGGGCGTTGGGTCTGGGAGCGCGAGCTGAAACTGGCTGGGTGCCACGATTTTAAAGACGCCGTGTTCTTTAGCACCAAGTGCATCAGCGCAGGAAAATAGTGCGGGCCTGCCTGGCTTGATTTGGTTCTTTAAGTCGGCATATTGCTCCAAAGTCGGCAGAAGGACCAGGACCTGAAAGCCCTCTCCGGCAGGGTCCCATCGATACTTGATACCCTGATGTTCTAATGGTGCGGGATGCACTGGTGCCCTAGACCCAATTTTGGGAGCGAGTCGTGTCCCAATCTGGTATTCTGGGTTCGCCGTATCAGAGTCGCTTGTAGGGAGAGCTGGCGGCGCTTCTGGAGATTGTTCTTGATCCCTAAGCATGCGGCTCGTGCCGGCTTGTCGGACTTCCAGGATCTCCTGTTTCACTTCTCTAAGGGATGCATAAAAAGCCTGCATCAAGGAGAGAACCTCGCCCAGAGATGTTCTGCTGGAGCCATTCACCTTCCGTGAATTTCTGGATGTTAAGTCGGCCTTCACGAGCCCCATGATTCGTCCATGAATTTCCTCGATCCGTGCAAGTCTCTCCTCCAGGGAACGGAACGCTCCGTCTAGGCCTATGGTGCTACGGAGAGGGTCCTGTGTAGCCCGAGTTGAAGTTGTATGGCCTGTAGTCGAGGCAGACTGCTTCCGAAGGTTCACTGCGCGGAGACAGAGACCTTGCCATTCCTTAAGCAGCACCTCGTGCCGGCTAGCGAGTTCATTTTCCCGTTCAAGCTCTGTCCAACTCTCTAGCTCGTCTTTGTCCGCATCATCGATGTATCTTCCGTCAACGGGGTACAAGAGTTTTCCCAAAACTGTGATCGTATCGCTTGACATTATGTGAAAGTGATGTTACTACGTACTCGACTGACGCTGCGTGAGAGGGGATCCGGGGGAGGCTGAGGATCTGGCAGATGGACCGTCCACTAGCAGTAACTTGAACTTCGTGCCACATCGTGCACTCAATCCAATCCTTTCAGTGTGTCTCCTTTCTTCCGAAAGGGCAGCCGGATATGAGGGAGGATGCTGCGAGCTGGCCTACCAACTATCGAGTTCGGTACCGACAGAATGGACACACTGTGTGACCCACCGTGCTGTATGTCTGAAGATGAGTTGGCTGATGGTGATCAAGCAGGGAAATGTCATCACCAAATCGAACTTTGCTTGTTCTTGGTCCCGTTTTGAAGAATCGATCCCACCATGGATGCTATCCAGCAGACTTGGGGCGCGTCTACTGAGCAAGATATTGGATGGAAGCGCCTTGGGCTTGACAACTAAGGCGCCGTTAGTTTACTAGCCCCGATGGTTCATAGGTCTAATGGACTCTCATCGGCTCCATTGATCAAGTTAAAACGTATTTACTTGGACGAGGGAGGCCATGTTACACAACAAAGCCACACGTTGGCCGTAGTTCCCACTGTGTCTCTCGGCGGAGCCGGATCAGAACGCCCGCAGGAGCGAGATATCACGTGAGTTATCTGTTGGCTGGTGCTTCGTATCCACTCAGGGGCCAATGCAGTAAGGTAACGTTATCCAATTGGATCGACCGACGCCCCAGATTGGCTGAGCTCCCACACAGAGTTGGTTCGCTCTTTCCAAGTCCTAAACGTTTCACTAACACAGACCGGTACCTAGTCCCCCTGCCCAAGAATTAATCGAGACTGCAAAACCGAGTTGTAGTAATTCAGCTTCTCAGATAGGGGATTGGTGATAGCAGAATGCTTCTACTGATATCAGCTTGCAGCTATTTTAATGGTTGAATGTGGTGGGCGAGCATTTGCGGTCTCAATAAATCTTGGTCGAGGAGCTAGTATACCTTAGTCTTAGAGGTGGCTCCCTTAGGTATCTAGAGCTTAGACAACATTAAGATTTAGAAGAGAAGGACCTGTAAACCAGTCTTTATCCCACACTGTGCGCTCTCCTTTAAAAGCATCCAGCATCCGGCTATCAATAGGTGGAGTGTACCAAGCAATTTCCCCAGTTATAGGAAGATTCTCGAACCTTGCGTAAACGGCTGCTCCCTCGTTTAGAGAGCGAGTCATCTGCCTCTGACCACCAACAATGAGATCCCGAGTAACCCTCCCGACTTCTGTGCTATGTGGGTACCAATTTACCCATTGCCCGTCGTATACCCCGCCAAGATTCTTCCATGTCGTCAAAGTGATAATCCGGCCGACACCTTCAACGTCTTGTGCGCTGATGCACAGATCTGTGGCGCAAATCTCACACGCCCGTACAAGATTAACCCTAAACCGAGCAGGAAGTCTCTGGCATTCAGGTTTTCTGCATGGCTGAGCATGGAATAGAGCGCAGTCAATGCCTGGCCCGAGAGCGTTGTCGAGGATAGTAGGCGGAACAGGAGCCGAGTCGTAACAGTCAGCTGTATGCCCAAGCCAAATGCTCTCCTCTGCTAGGCACCGTGGATTCGTACAAAATGCATACTGATCATTCATGAGAAATGAATCTTGCCTCTTGTGATCCAGTTTATACAGTCGATCTTTTAGAGGGTCCTTTCCAAGTAGTTGATCTCGGAGATAGTTCTTGTTGGACAATTGACTGCCTAGATATGAAGCCGATAGGCTGGAGTATTGATCAAGATCAGACCTTGAACTGCAGGAGAGCCCAAGACCTAAATGCTGCCATCTAATGTGAGGGCATGCTCGGCCATTGGAGTTGTGTAGCATGCTGTTGAGTAGATACGCGCTGTGGCTTGTAAGGTTGCCCTCAAATGTTAATGGAGCGATGCTCGTTTCTAGACGAACAAACAGGCTGCCATCGACCATGCGTAGGGCTGTATTGGTGAAAACTTTGAATTCTTGGTCTGTATAAATCTCGGTCCGCCTAGCAATTGAGAGGAGATCCGTGTATCGCTCCTGGCGAATATAGCGCTTAGCAAGCAGACGGCAGAGCGCCGGAGTAATACCCGCCGGGAGGAGAGATTTCCATTTCCCTTCGCACGGAATGTCGAACGGACTGTGTAGTTTTATGCACTGCTGGCAAGCGACTAAGAGGTCCGAATCTCGCTCTAGAAGGAGTAGCAACCTCCAACGCTCGAGGATGCTCAGGGTCTTGTAGAACTGTGGAGGGACAAGGTTGTACATTGCTCGGCTAGTTAAAGCGAGGGCAAAGGCCGTTTCTTTGGGTAACAGTCTTGCGATGTGCTGTCTGAGCTCGGTAGGCAAATATGCAAAAGGAAAACGGCGATGTTGTGTGTCCGATTCATAGCGAGTTGGAACGAAGTTGACTATATCGAACCATGGGTTTGGATGTCGTTCGCGCAAAGGGTGCGAGGAGACGAGGCAAGAACAGCTACTAGTATCTTGTACTGTAGTAGAGCGATAATCCGGGATTGATGTAATGATTGAGACTAAGGTATGTTGCGGTTAGCTTAGTTGTGTAAGGTAGCAATGGCTAGCCACTTACTTTTAGCGAGAAGTCCGTCGCGATTGTAGTAGGTGTTATGGGTGGTGCTGTCGTTGTTGTCACCAATGTTGGCGTCGTCTCTGTGCTCAATGTTGTCGCCGTAATTGAGCTCAATGATAATAGAGGACCAGACTAGCCACATATCAAAGCCAACGGCGACGAAAATGCCGCTAGCTTGAATGTCGTCTGAGCTATCAACATCGGTTTTAGCGATGACAGAGTCCCAGTACGTGCAGTCTAGCGTACGAGGACGCATAGTGATCGCCGGAGTCCGCAACCCGTCGGGGTCCGCGCTTCCCTTTCCCGGTTGTGTTGATACTGCTCGTCTAGGTATGCAGTATTCGTGGCGCCGAGCCAAGGTGGGTTGTGTTATTGAAGATGCCTACCCAAGCCTCAGGAATAATCCACTCTCTCGCTCTGACGTCGTTTGCTCACAATGCTTCAATACCTCCGGGTGTCCCAGACGAGGCAATCCACACGATCACAGTTGACACTTCAGCAACGAGGGTTTATTTCCTGGGGGCTCGTGCGACAATGATGCGAGTCAACCGAGAGGGGGAAAGATGTCAGGCTGCCCGAGTGTTTATAAACTTTATATCTGGACATACAGCTGGGGATAAGCGTAGCGCTACCATGCTAAGTTTACTATACTGTGTTGAATGCGCATCTGGGCGATACGCCTATATTGATCTCTAGACAACATGAAGCTATTGGAGAACGCCTCTTTTGAGGGAGAGCGCGCGCAATCATGCAGCACTTGCCACTTGAAAAGTGGTCTCCAACCGCGCCCCCTCCAGTCCACCCAGGGAGACCACGGTGCCAATGGAACATCTCCATGCAAGACTTAAGGTACCTACCTATTCTGCCTAGAATCGTGGGGCAGCTAGAGTAAGCCGTCGAATTGAGACGTCCTTGTCCGCGCTTTGTCGCGATGATGTCGACGCACTTTGGGCGGCATCGCTAGATCAAACCCTGACCTCCAGTCACTCGTGGCAACGCACAAGGGGTGCGGGCCAGGAGTATCCTGCGGCGCTTTCAGGTTCTGGTAGGTTAGGGTGTAGAGCCAATTATTAGAGATCGACGGAACAATGGTCGTGCGATGCAGGCGTAGACTGAATTTAGACTACTAAGTACTCCACGTCCTTCTCATCTAGCTCCCCTCTTTTCTGTACATGTTGCCATCCACAACAGGATTACCTAGTCGATCTGTCCGTTATTCCGCATCCGACTTCAGAAAGCCAGCGATTGAAATCGTCCGACAATTTATTGATAGCGGCCTTTACAGACTCCAAGCTTTCCTGCACTTTGCCGATATCTGACATTACTTTATCCATCTTCTCAAGCAACTTGAGCTGATTTCCGTATATCCACTGCATCATCGTCTCTAATGCGATAAGCCGTTCAGGCTGTGTCTCGATCTCCATGGCTAGCGCTCGGGCTGTTGGGAAAGCAGACAGTGTGGTTTCATAACCAGCGCTAGTTGTTGACCCTGGCGAGACTGTTTGGAAGGCGGGCGGTGACTCTCCCATCACGCCGCCGTCGCCGGCAGCGAGGGTCTGGTGCGCGACATGCGCTGAAGTTGGTGGGAAGGTAGATTGTGTGTTCATGGTATCGTTGCTCAGGGCGCTGTATGTTGCGAGGGTCCCCGACAATAAAATGGTAATGTGCTATGTGGTAGAACGACGGGATTGTCCTGTGAAAGATCGGATTGAGAGCCTTGGGAGCGGACTAGTTGTTATGCTCCAGCGCGACAGAGACAGTATTTATTCAAGTCCGTCTACAATGCCTTAGGACTGCTGCTTTATCTTGCGTCATCAACTTTCGCGAGGGATAGCAGACAGGATAGGAACACATTGTGGAGTAGAAGGTGTGTAGTGTAGCATCTTGGGAAGCGCTTGGGTATTGCATATCCAATATCCTCCTGCCTATCAGATGGTCGTTCGAACTTATCTGGCGATCCTGGTAGGCATGATTATAGAGCGCCACCTTAGGGTGTCAGCAAAATGACCAACAAGCGCTGGAAAACTTCCGGGAAAAGGGGGAAGCCTGGGCACATAGGTAGCCGCAACGACTGGATCTGCGTGAGCGGCTATTCCTGGAATTCCCTGGATTGTGATACTAATTCCTCAATTCCCAAAACGGATATCCGCTTTCAACATGCCTATGGACTTTCCGTCTGTGTAATGAATGCAGGTATGTACCTCTGATTGAAATCCAGGTGATATAAAAATGGAGGGTTATGCCATATTGGTTTGTGAACAGGCAGGCTCCTAGAGATCTATGGTCCGGGCTCAACGGCAGCGTATGTCCCGATAAAGAATTGCCTTTTTTTCACTTCTAGAGGCCTTTGAATACCTCAGGTAGTTAGGTACTTAAAGTACCAACCCCAAGTTCCAACATCCATCTTCGGTAATACAAGTTATCCAACAAACGGTTTCTAGGCTTCTCCTCGGTGCTCAAGGTATAAATACATCATGAAGCACAAGTAAGCGATTGAAGGGAAGAACCAAGATCATCAGACTACAAAGCCTAATCCGAATTCAATATGTGGCTAATCCTCCTTTGCTATGTAGCGCTAGCAGCTGCCTTGAACAGTACATGTCTCCTCAACCCTGCCCTCCAAATATCCGCTGGATCTACTCTAAGCGCTATGTAAATTATCCATACCTCCTCTTCAAATTGCAGGTCATTCTAACCCTCAGCAAGCATGAATTTCGATAGTACCTGCGAGGCAACCTTCATGTTCACGGAAAACAACTTTCCAGATATCGTCTTTGGTTTCAAAGATAGCGGTTGCCCGCAAGTATCTATCTTAGAGCTAACTGTACCCCGAGAGGTGCCAAATGGAGATGCAATTATATTCTGGTAATATACCTATGTTTTCGAGTTATCTAGGATATATAAGCTAACTTCTTTAGGCAATGTACCGGCCAACAAGTACAATCCTGCTTCCAAGTTAATATTACCGACGGAATGAACGAGCCAGGCAACGTTATATTCACCCAGAACGGCACGGTTGACTGCTTGAATATCGTATCCCCACCAATGAGAACACTGGTAACAGGAAACGCAGGGGAAACAACGACCATAGAGACACGTACCGGAGAGATGCAAATTGCAACTGTTGGTGTCTCCTCAACCTCCACCTGGTCCCACACCACCTCAACCCTCACGTCTTCCGCTCCGCCGGTCTCCCTGGTCACCTCCGCCTCCATGTCCCTCACCTCCTCTCCGTTACCGCCATCCAACTCCTCCCAGCCTGCAGGGCCATAGCTCACGAGGACGGGTGGGTTGCAATGAGGAAGAAACGGTTGGCTGAAAGAGGAATCAGGAAATACGCGAGGGATGGGGAGAGAGTGAAAGCAAAAAAAAACATCGCCAGTTACTTCTATAAGTTCAAGACAAAATATACTCCCCATCTCTTTGACCCTTATCTGCTGCTGTCCCGACCCCCCTATCCCCTTCCCTTCCTCTCTCCAAGTAATGGATAATAAGATCATTATGCGTCCTTCTATCTCTTACTGGTGCCCCTGGCGACGAAGATTTCGGAGAGGCCCGGAGTGGGTGGATTACACGTCCGGGCTGAAGCAGCTCAACGAAGGGTTTGAGATTATATGGCTGGGAGATGTTTGCGTCTACGACGGCTGCTGCTGGAAGATTGGTAACAGCACGGTCTCCGCGTCCGAATTTGGAGAGGCTCTTATGGCTACAGATCCCAGCGAGTCTATAGAGGCAGCTTTACTCAGCATGACCGACGCCCCCTTTCCCTTGGGCAATGACGCTGCTCTTCCCTCGTTTCTGAGGCTCCCCAAAATCTCTTACGCTCTCCTTTTCCAGCTTGGTTCCCTCGCCCAGTACCGCTGCCAGGCACAGAGCATTCATCGCAACGACGCTCAGGAACGCCCAAAGAGAGTCCGCAAGCTCGTGGCGTGGAGATTTGACAGCGCTACCGTTGGAGATGAGCTTCAGAGGGTCATCATTCTCACCGAATGGGTTTGCGGATCCAATGAGAAACGCAAAACACTCTCGTGGGAGTCCGAGTCGCTGCTACACGCCATTTGCAAACCATTGCTGCTAGCATTTTGGCAGCGTGGTGGCAAGCTCTGCAAGCAATTTCGGCAATGTGACGGCGGACGAGATTCGTGGATTCAGATGCGCGGCGGTAGCTTGGGCGCTGGCAGCCAGTACCTAGTTCACGCCGTCCGAGGGACCCGTGTACGCCGCTACAAGCGGGAGTACCTTCTTGAGTGGGTGGGCTACGAGCACGCAACCTGGGAGGATGAGGCCAATGTGTCAGAGGACTTGAAGCGAGAGTACAACGCTGAAGTATAGTGGTGTGTACTATGGTGGATACTCGGCAGGCGGCCCTGGTATATACAGTTAAACAGAATGTCTTCCATTATCTCTATAATCGGCATCTACCCCACTATTGTAGTGTATGTTAGCGGTGATATACTGTGTTGCCTGTTACTATACCAACTCTGGCCACCCGGGCCAGGCCCGGTAGCATTCAGTCCCTTTCTCGCGGTTCCCGCAACCTCCAGAAAACAGGGAGACACGCATGTAAGTACACCCCTCATAATCAGTCTAATATACTGGTCGGTCTTCGTTATTGGCCCAGCTGTCTTAACTTTAGAAAATATACGTTGGCCAAGGCATCCTCGAATCGAATGTTTGTGCAATGCGTACTAACTAAACCTGGTCCCACCGTTGATACCAGTCCAGTCTAATGGAAGCCTCCAATGCGAGTATACTAGATCGAGATGGCTCAAACCTTACACCAGCCTGGGAACATCGTGAGGATGGCAGCGTTTGGCACAATAAGGTCGACCTAGAAGACGCAGCATACTACCACTACAACGGCAGCCTTCCTACTCTCGCTGGACTTTCTACGGGCGACGAGCATATACTCCGAGTCTCTCTTGGCACACCAAGCGCATTAGACACGCCATTCCCATTGCTTACGTGCGTATCCAACATACAGCAGCCTGAGATCAGTCGCTCGCAATTGCGATACCCCGTTTTGGAACCTTTGGTTCCTTACTTGACTGGTTCAATCGATCTCACATTAGCCTACGACTTGCTAGAACGCTACTTCGAGAGCCGGCCGCTAACCCCGCTATATCCCTTGTCGCCTTACGTCTTGTGCTTCCTCTACCGAAGACGCTCGTTCTTGAATGGTAGTCGGCCTCGCCAATGCAAAGCTGTTCTTCTGTCGAGCATGTTGTGGGCCGCCGCCGAGATAAGCGAGTCGTCTCTTCTTGCAGGGCACCAGCACGCCCGTCGCCAAGTTTGCGACAGGCTGAAATTGCTGACCTTAGCGCTTGCCCAGATAGACGTCCCCGCCGGTAATGTGGACGATGTAGTCGCCTGCATATCCTTGGCTACAGTGGGATCTGCCCTCGAGCATGAGGGTAGTACTTGGAGTAATGCCGCGTGTTCACTGGCGCGGGAACTCCAACTGGGATGTGAGCTCCCCGCCGACGCTCTCTCTATCCACCAGAGCGACAAGGATTCGAGTATGGCTGAGGAGGAGCGCGAGATAAGACGCCGCGTCTGGTGGCTCCTCTACATCGTGGACCGCCATCTCGCACTTCACGAGAACCGGCCGCCTGTTCTCTCCGATGGCGAATGCAGTGGCCTTCTTCAACCAATGAACGACATGGACTACCAGGAAGGGAATTTCCAAGCTCGCTTGCAGATTTACGGGTCGCCATTCCAGTGTACTAGTCCTAGTCTCTACGGTTTTTTCTTGCCGCTCATGGCAATTCTCGGCGAGGTTCTGGACCACCGGCGCCCTACGCTCTCGGTGGCAGAAAAGGTGGCGTCGTATGAGCGGAGCCTGGAATGCCTAAAGCAGCAATGCAAAGAGCTGCGGGGGCCAGCCGCTGTCGCCCAGAACCGGCTGGCTGCGGCATACGGCACCTACATGGTGTACGTATTGCGCATTCTACTCACTCGTGAGCACTGGGAAGTCAACCTTGTCGACAACAGCGATCGAGGCTTGAGTTTGGCTTTCTTTGACGCCGCTACACATACGCTCTCCGCGGCGAAGGCCGTCAGCGATATCCTCAAGTGGGACCCCGGCTTGGAGCTCATGCCGTTCTTCTTCAGCATCTTTCTCTTTTGGGGTTCCTTTCCACTTCTAGTATTTGCCAGCAGGCCGCAGTTCCAGCAGCTGCCAGGCCTCGACCAGTTGTACGCCGTTGCACTCCGCGCTCACGAAGCTTGCATAGTTACGCTCGACACTCAGTACCAGGTGAGTGACGCACCCTGTTTAAAAATGGGCTGGAGCTAAAATTTTTCGTAAGCGTGACTTCTGCAGGACTCTGCGTAGTGTTGTCCAGCTCCGTGTTTACTCGCTTAGTTGTTGAGAACTTTGGAGAATGTAATATATCGTACTCCGAGTCCAATATTCTTTTGCTGGTGATCCTATAGATGCCTATATACAGTACGTAGTGAGTGAATCATTCTCGTGGTTTTGGGTTTTGGGACAAAGCTGCCAGTGCGAATTCGGTGCCGTACCTTACTTTAGCGTCAGCAAGCTCTCCACCGCCGCTCGCGCTTCCATTCCACGTAGTAGGTATGTGCCGAGAATAGAACAGTAGCCGCGCGGCTAGGTGCTCAGTTCTCCGGGTTTTAAGTGCTACTAAAGCCCATGCTGCGCTAATAATTGACTTGAAATCTTAACTCGTCTAGATTCCTAAACCCCCAGTTCCACTTCCTTTCTAGACTGACGATGGACGCCTCGTTGGAATCTTCTAGCGGGCTAAGAACACTTCT